AAACTTTGTTGGCCTTAATGGTGCCACTGGAGTAGGGTTGCCAGACCCCCTGGTTTGGCGGGGGTTACCCACTTCTTGGGGGGTTCTACCTGCTGCCTGGCCAGCTGGGGAAGCCTCGCCTGAAGACCCAACACCTGCAGCCACCCCTCTCAGAGATTGGGTGGGTGAGGCCCTCCGGCTGCGGGCACTGAAAGGGACCCCTTTAAGTGCACGCAGCTGGTGGGACCATCCCCGCGGGGGAGGAGCTTGGAGCTGGGGCATCTCCAATGTGACATCATCACGTTGGGGATGCCCCGCCCCCTCCAGTAACACTTCCCAAAGTCCCCCACTGGGGATGCAGATGGACCAGGCAACCCTACACTGGGCTCAAACTTTGCTCTGTTGCTTCAGACCAACACGGCTACCCACCTGAATCTAAACCAAAACCGCTGTAATAATTCTTTCAAGAAAATGAAATCATGTTTTAAAATATTAAAAACGGTCCCCATGTGCATCATTAACCTAATAACGATTTCAATAGCAGAGGGTTAGCTGTGTTAGCCTGTTGCAGCAAGGTGAAACGAAAATCTAGCAGTTCCTTAAACACTAAACAAGAAGATGCTGCTAGATTTTTGTTTAATTCTGCTATAACAGCCTAACACTGCTATCCCCTTGCAGCAAAGTAGAACAGAGGTCGAGTGGCATCTTAAAGACTAGCAATATTTATGCCACCTTCAGCTTTCAGGAGTATATCAGATGCACTGGAATACAGATGTCTGTACCTACTGTGGACATACACATCGGTTCATCTGATGAACTGTGCTGTGACTGAAGAAAGCTGAAGCCGGAATAAATTCTGTTCGTCTTCAAGGCCGCACTGGGCTCCTGTTTTAATTGTTCATGGGTCATCATGTCTGCTGGGCAAAACTTCTCTACCTTCTGCAATTCTTAAAACTGCAGAAGGCCTTGGAGACCAAGCCTGATATTCTTTGAAACACGGGAACCAAACTTGAGGCCATGTTGCCCTGTATCTGAAGGGAACTAGGAAGCTGTTGGCCTGATTCTGAAGATACTTTTTATCTACCATCCCATCGGGGCTTGCGTTTCTTTGTAACTTTAGATGCAACTAGATCTGATTCAATGGAGCAGCTGACAAAAGCATTATTGTTATGTTCCTATCTAAATGTCAAAGGACGGCTGAGTCTTGCAAACACCTACAGGTATACTTCCTTATTGCCGCTGTTCAGTGCTTCGTTCAGTTCATCATACCATGGGGTGCAAACCAGTTTGCTCTACAGGGGCCAGGAAAACACACACCTGTGGGAGAGGATAGAATGGCTAACAGGCTTAGAGGGGTGTCCTGTCCCTTTAACAGAGGCTTAATGTGTGGAAATGGGCAGGGCGTGGAGGGGAGTAACATCACTTGGTATTTAACATCCCGGTAAGCATCTGTTTGTGCTATCATACTTTGGTCACATCATGAGAAGACAAGAGTCACTGGAAAGGTAATAATGGTAGGTAGGATGTTTTGGAGGCCATTAATTCATAGGGTTGCCATATTGGAAGCAATTTGACAGCAACACACACAAACAAGCATCTCTTAAAGGGACAGGACTTTTTCCTCCAGTGCTGTTGACAACCCTTCGGGAGAGACACCCCCCCCCAACTCAGTGGGGCTTGTATCCTAGTAAACACAGTGTAAACCAGAAGATGGATCTGTGCACCACCCTTTACTACCCAAAGGAGTCTCAGAGCAGTTTACAATCTCCTTTTCTTTCCCTTCCCCACAACAGGCACCCTGTGAGCAATGTTCCCTTTAAGCTATGGAGCCCCGTGAGCAAAAATTCTACTTTGTGAGCTACTAGCATTAAAGTTGTGAGCAGGTGATTTGGCTGCTGCATAAATTAGTTTGATCTGGAGCTATCCTTCCTGAGCTAAGACAAAAATGAGTGAGCCAGAGGCTAAAAAACTGTGAGCTAGCTCACACTAACTCAGCTTAGAGGGAACACTGCCTGTGAGGTAGGTGGGGCTGAGAGAGCTGTGAGAGAACGGCCCTTGAGAGAACAGCTTTGAAAGAACTTATGACTGGCCAAAGGGAATTGAGAAGCAGAGGTGGCCCACCACTGCCTTCCTCTACAGAGCCTTTCTCGGTGGTCTCCCATCCAAGTACGCTCGCAGGGAGGGTGGTATAGAAGCCTAATGAAATAAATAAATAAATACTGACCATGTGCAACTTCCAAGTTTGGGCTACACCATGCGGCGTTCCATCCAACACAGATAAGGGTCTGTACTAAACAAGCCTTTGGGTTAAAAAAAAAATCAGATGCAGCTGTGGATTTCAAGGTGCAGGCTTAGGAACAAGGAATGCTGTACCTGTCGAATTTCTACAGATGGAAAGAGGAAGGTACCTGTCCTACTTCTCTCTGTATTGCTATGAGTTCCCCACAACAAGAAATTCCAGAGTCAGCACTGCAGGGTTAGTTTCCTTCAGATGAAAGAGCACTTGGAGCCTTCCTAATATCTTCTTTATTTACTTAACATACAAGCAGAGCATTTTGGAAGCAAACAGTAACTCTAGCAGCTAATCTTGCATCAGCTGCATCCTCTCTCATTAGCCGGTGGGGGTCACCTTCCCAAACTCTAGTGGGTGTTGCATTCCAAAGCTGAACTTCCGGGAAACATTCATTCTCTTCTGTTAAATCCCTAGCTGCTCATTCAGACTGGTCAAGGAAAACCTGGAGAAAAATGGAACAGAAGGGGTTAAAATGAAATGTCCTGCCTCCCCTTAATAGAGATCCAAACTAGGGAGGCTATTTGCCAGGTGCTTTACCTCCAGGCCACAAAGTTTCCATGCCTTAAGCCTCCATTAAAAGGACAGGACATTCTCTCCCCCCCCCCCAGCTTACAGTGCCAGTTTGGTGTCGTGGTTAGGAGTGCAGACTGTGATCTGGGAGAACTGGGTTTGATTCCCCACTCCTCCTCCACATAGAGCTGTTGGGTGACCTTGGGCCAGTCACAAGTTCTGTCGGAGCTGTTGTCTCAAGAGTAGTCCCACCTACCTCAACAGGGTGTCTTACGGTTATGGGGAGATGAAGGGAAGGAGATTGTAAACCGCTCTGAGACTCCGGTGGAAGGGCAGAATATAAATCCAATCTCTTCTTCTCTCTCCCTGGTTTCTGGTGGTCCGTCCAGGGCAGCTGGTTGGCCACTCTGTGAACCCAAGCACTGGGCTACATGGACCACTGTTTTGATGCTGTGCAGCTTTCCTTATGCCCGTCTCCAAAACCAGAAGGGGCCAGGGCTCCTGTACCTTTAATAGCTGTATAGACATCTGGCAAGATTCTCTGTTCCAGGCTCTTAAAGGCATAAGAACTCTATTTCTCTCCATCCCCCTTAACATCTGATCATTCTGCTTATGAAAAGAGGGCTGGATGGTATCCTGGCCATCAGTGGCCCAGTATACTTACCAGCTTTTGAACCACCCAGTGTGGCTAACAATGGGCAGCAGCAATGAGTGGGTAGAGCTCACAAAGGCTATCCTCTGCTAATGCCTGTAGCTAAACCTCCACTTTTCCTCGATAGCAAAGACCCTGATTCTTCTTTCTAGTCACTTTTTCCAGAGATGCACAAAGGGCTCCTTAATTCTCTCCTCGTCCATTTGAACATCAACAAATGTGGGTTTTTTTTGGGGGGGGGACTGTTTATGATGCATAAGCCAAGGGTTACAGACAGCAGCGAGAAGAGGCTCTGATACAGGCAAGAAGAATTCTGAGAAGACCTTGACCGCTTTTGGCTTGCAGCGGAAGGAGTTAAAAGAAAGTTGTCCGCTGTTAAAAATTAGTTGCTGACCCGGTCTCGGCTGCACCTGCCGAAATGCCTTCTTCCCTATTAAAATTCAGAAGCGCTTTTTTTTGTTGGTCTCTCTGTGCGGCCCTTAAAGAGACAGGAGCCGTTTCAAGCAACCGCAGTGACCGCTTCAAAAACCACCGCCGCTCGTACAATGCAAAGCTTTCACGGGGAGAATGGGGGGGATCTTAAAGACCCAAGACAAAAACCAGGCAGTCTTTGAACCACGCTAAAAAGCAATCGATCGATCAATCTTTCTTCTGTGCGGATTTAAGACTGCAGTCTACCGTGACTTGAGAGAAAGTCCCATTGGGATCACGGGTCCTGGCAGATGTCAGATAAACTCGCCGGGAGCTGGGTTTGAGCCAGAAATGCCCTGCTTTATTGCCTCGATGACGTTCATACCCAGAGGAAGTTCATCGCTCACATGATTGTTAAGTCAGGCTCGCTCCAGTCCCTTAAAGGTCGTTCATATTTCAGCCCTTAAAAAAAAAAGTAATTGTTAAATTGGTAATAGACCCAAAAATTAGAGAAGGGGAAAAGCCCTTGGAAGAAATCAGCTCCTAAAGCCGGCAGTCTTCATTCCCAGTTTTTGCACTCTGTGCTCTATGCATATATGCCAATCGAAAGTGACACTTCATGCATCTGATGAAGTGGATTCCAGGTAAAAGTCCATACCTCAATGTCGAAGATGCAATTTAGAGCTTTCTAAAAAAAACACCCCAAACCCATTTGTGGAATCTGATATCACATGCCGCTGGATCCCGGACCCGTTTACTCAGAAGTCAGCCCCGCTGCAGCATCCAAGAAAAATTTCCTCCCAAGTAAGCATGCTTGGATCGCAGCATCCCTCACAGCCCCTTCGCAGCAGAACCCCTGTGAAGGTCTTTTGCTTTGCCTGTCCAGAGTTGGGCTCTGGGACTCAGTCGCCTCCCCCCCCTTTACCCTAAACATCTGACCGGGAGACCTGACAGCAAAACAGGGGGGGGGCATTAAAAGTGGGCAAGAGCAAAGGGGAGAAAACCCCCCCCCCCCCCCCCCTGAAATAGGATTCAAAAACAGATTATTAGCAGCAGTGACAGATTCATGCAACTGGATTATCAACCAATGGGAAGCCGGCTTTGGCGGTGTATAAAAGGGATGCGAAGGCGGGGGGAGAGGTTCCACTCCGGGCAGGTCTTTCTGGGAGCGCGGTGGGGCTGCAAGAGGCTAAGGGGGAAGGAAAATTGTAATAATAAGGGCTAGTCTTGCGGTTTCTCTGACGCTCCCGGTAAGTGTTTGGGACCAGCTGCGGCAGCTCTCTTTAGTTTGAGGGGAGGAGGAGGAGGATGTTATGGGGTTGCTTAGGAGAAAGACCGGTCGGATTCCCCCCCGTTTAAAAAAAAATCCAGGAGGGGGGAAAAGAGGACTTCCTTCTGCGTTTTCGAAGTACCATTTTTGGTGGTGATGGGGGAGATGATCGGGTGTGAAAGCTCTTTTTGCTATGGGGAGGAGGAGATCAGAGTAGACCAGCTTATAATATGGACGCCTGGAGCATAAGGAGAAAGGGGGGGGCTGTATTTCTCTTCTCCCCCCCCCCCACTGTGGTTATCTGGTCCGCGTGAGGCGGCCCCTCTAAATCCAGATTAGCAGGCATTTAGCAGGGTGTTTGCAGGGGACGGCTCCGCGGCCAAGGCTTTAAACCAGCGGAGGAATTCGTTATATAATTGAGGTGGGCTGGAAGGGAAGGCTGCGGGCATCGGGTCCCCCTTCCCTGGCCGACAGCGCTCCGCTCGGAGAGGCGGTCGACTGGAGCCGTGCAGCCTCCCCTCGGGCGAGGACTCGGGTTGCCATTCGCTCCCGGTCTCCTCGCGTGCAAGGACGGCGAGGCGGGGCTCTCCAGCCGCCGCCGGGCTTGGCGGGAAGGGGACCGCGAGTCCTCCGGCCGGCCGAGCGAGGCGCAACGGTCTGCGCTTGGAGCCCGGGCGGTTCTCCCGCCGCCTCTCTCTCTTTCGCTTTCCCCTCTGGCGCCTGGAGCCGAGAGATGCAGAGCCGGTCACCTGCTCCTGGCGACTGCGCCGCTGAGCCACCACCCATATATAGGGGGTAATGGCTGAGCGCGGCACGCAGGCCGGCCCCAGCCCTTCGCCTTCCCCCCCAGCGAAGCTGCCCTCCTGCAGCCAGGCCCCTTGCAGAGACGGAGACGCGGCGTCTCTCGGCCGCCCAGCCCGGCGCTCCGAGGGGCGGTCTCTGGAGCTCGAGTCTCCTGGGAACGCGCCGCGCTCTCTCTCTCTCTGTGCAAACAAACGGGAGCCCCGGGCAGCCTTCGAGGTGCCTGCTGCAGAAAGCCCGCCCTCGCCGCAAGGAAAATGCCCTTGCCTTGAAGGTGACCCCTTGAGACGAAGGGGAAAAAGGGAAAGGACGCGCGTCGGAGCCGCTTTCTGTGCCTGGCGCTGCCACTGCTCGATGGCGCTGACCTTGGGCAAGTCTCTTAACTCCCTGGGTCCTTTTGGCTTCTGGGGGTGTGTTTCCTAGCTGGGGTGTGCAGGTGTGTCGTCACCTGGGTCAGCAGGAGGCCAGGAGAGCTATGTTTGCCAAGCACCTGCCAGTCCGCTCCACCTGCCGGAGACGCCAGCTCCCAGTGTCGAGGTGGGCAGGGCCGGTGGCTGGCAAGGTGACCTTGCTTTGTGGCCCGGATCCTTTCCGGAGGCGGCCTGCCAAGCTGATGCCTCGGAGCGAGCCAGGTGATAGATTTCCCCTCTCTGTTCCTTCTCCCCCAGCTCCTTGCAGTCAGGTGCCCACCATGCCATTCTCAAACAGCCACAACCTCATGAAGATGAAAAACTCCGCGGAGGACGAGTATCCGGACCTGAGCGCCCACAACAATCACATGGCTAAAGTCCTGACCTTGGACCTCTACCGCAAGTTGAGGGGCAAACAGACTTCTAGCGGATTTACCGTGGATGACGCTATTCAGACTGGGGTGGACAACCCAGGTAAAAAGGACCGGATGGGTCTGTTCTCCCTCTGTGGTTTAACGAGGAAGTGCTGCTTTGAAAATGGCATTGGGGGGGAAAAAAAGAGCTCCGCCGGGCCGCCAAAAAATAATATTTTTTTAAAAAATTCCAAGCTGTTTTAAATCCTTGGCACAAAGATCTTGCTCTACCAGAAGGTTGTTGCTATGGTTTACAAGAAAAACCCACACACCCATATGGATGGACCGTCCAGGCATTGCCAAACGCCAACCAAATTCTGTAAAGGCTCTGCTAAATCTCTGTAAGGCCAGACAAGAGAATTTGTTTTTCGCTTCGTAAAAAAAAAGAGTCGAGCTTTGGAGACAAGGAAGCTGCTTTTTAAAATCCCCTTCCACCTGCAACCTGGCTTGTTTTAATGGCTTTTTTTTTTAGTGGCACTTCTTTGGTAAACTAAGCAGGGAGGGGGAGCAGATACAGGTGCGAGGCTTTGTGGGTCTGTCTTTAATGCTTGCAGTATTTGTGTCTTTCTTTGTCACTCTAGCGATCTCAAAATGGCCCCATTTAATAACCAGAAACTGCCTCCTGATGAGGAATACCCGGACCTGAGCGCCCACAACAATCACATGGCTAAGGTCTTGACCCCGGAGTTGTACCAGAAGCTGAGAGACAGACAGACCCCCAGTGGAGTCACCTTGGATGATTGCATTCAGACGGGGGTTGATAATCCTGGTAAAAAAAAAAAACCCAAAAGCAACCCTCTGTGACCCAGCTGACGCACCTCACGGCTTCTTATTTAGGTTGACCTTGGCTGTGTGAAGGTCTCGCTGCTGGCTAGCAGAATGGCCATAGGAAAAAACCTAGGCTGGATAGTGTGGGCATGGATGGAGTTGTAGATAGGGGCGTTTCCTTGTTGTTCCCCTCCCACACACAGTCATAAACCACCCCTCTTTATATTACAAGGGATGACGAGGGGCCACAGAGATACTGAGTCAGGTGCAGGCTAAATCCCTGCACTGATACTTGCCACGAGAACTAAACAGAACCTCTGTTCTCAAGAGGCAGTGTGACTCTGAATAACACGTGCTTAAAGAGATGGCCCAGCCCAGCCTCAGTTTGTCAGATCTTAGAAGCTAAGCAGGGTTGGCCGTGGTTAGAACTTGGATGGGAGGCGGGCCAGTGCTCCCTCCAAGCTGTGAGCAAAAGTCCTGCTTTGTGAGCGACTGGCATGAAAGTTGTGAGCAGGTGATTCGGCCGCTGCGTACGTTAGTTTGCTCTGGAGTCATCCCTTCCTGAGCGAAGACGAAGATGTGTGAGCCCGGAGGCTAAAAGACGGTGAGCTAGCTCACACTAACTCAGCTTGGAGGGAACACTGGAGGTGGCCAAGGAATACCGCAGTTGCTACTCAGAAGCAGGCCAATGGCCAGCCACCTCTGAACACCTCTTGCCTTGAAAACCCTATGGGGGTTGCCATAAGTTGGCTGCGACTTGATGGTACTTTACACCACTACCAAGGAAAGGAGTAGGGGATGGAATGTTATCTTGATGTCATGAGTACTGGAAAGAAGATGGTAAGCTAAATGGACCCTGTCTGCCTTGGCCTGTAGGCATTGGCATGGTCAGGGCTATTTTTGGGCAGGAACGCACAGGAATGGAGTTCCGGCTGGCTCCCGAGTTGGCCACGCCCAGCAGGAACTCATTAGCATAATAGGCCACACCCAACAGCAGGAACTCATTAGGATTGGCTACATTAGGGGTGTGTGGCCTAACATGCTATAAAAAAAGCCCTGGGTTTTGACAACAAACAAGGTAAGCAGAATAAGAAGCAAAAGGTGGGTGTGGCTGGATGACTACACTTCTGGTAACATGGGGGTGTGGCCTAATATGCTAATGAGCTGTGCTGTCATGGGTGTGGCCTAATATGCTAATGAGTTTCTGCTGGGCTTTTTCTACAAAAAAAGCCCTGGGCATGGTCATGCACAGGGAATTGTGTGAGCGGGGGGGGGGGGTTGAACCCCGACCCACACCACTGTGTGGTGGTGGGAGAGACTTTGTCTTGTAGTCAGATCACTGCCGAGTCAAAATTCCGAACGGGCCTCCAGACGTTCAGCTTCCCAAAGAAGCCTTCTTGTAAGTTACCATCCTGGTTGTGGAACAGTTCTGTGTAAATGAGATCTTGTGGATTCCCAACAGAAGCGAGTCCCCCTCAGAGCCCTGCCTCACCAGAGCGGAGTTTTAAGGAACACCACAACTCTGTGCGAGCGCAGAAAATGTACCTAGTAGAGAACCGAGAGTGGAATTCTAAGGAACTTGGCTAGTTTGTTTCAGGCTTGAGACCTGGGCAGTCAGCTCAGTCTCATCAAATCTCGGAAGCTAAGCAGGGTCGGCCCTGGTTAGTGTTTGGATGGGAGACCGCCAAGGACGTCCAGGGTCACTGTGTGGAAGCAGGCGATGGCAAGCCACCTCTGGCAGTCTCTTGCCTTGCAAACCTCATGGGCTCACCAGAAGTCAGCCGTGACTTGACGGCAAAAAATAAAACGAGTAAAGCTTCTAGTCCGTATGGCCATATCTGCTGAAATCTCAGAAGGCTTTCGTGCCTGGTGGTGTAGCTCCCTTCCCATCTTTGTTCTTTTTGCCATTTTTACTATTTTGCAAAAAAACCAGATTTTGGTGGGGGATGAGTCTTGGTCTACTTGTATAATGTGTACTAGCGGAGGAACTTGGATCGTCCAGGGCAGAACTGTATTCTTGGCAGAGTGTATGTAGCCCTGGATATGCACAAGCAGGCAAAAGGCTTTTGGGGGAAATTGTGAAAAGAAGCCTTTATGGGATTTTTGGAAGCTGAGTAATGTCTTTTTACCAGATCATAGCCTCTTGTGTGGACAAATTGTCCAAATGACCTTACAAAGCCCTTCCTTTTGCCCAAAAGCAAAAGATTCTTGTCAACATGAGCAAGCTAGTATGGTGGGAACAGGAAGCATCTTCAAAATTGTGGGGCTTGAACATTATCCAGTATAGCTATCTAGAGCCTTCTGCTGCTTTAACATTTTTTCATTGTTCAAAACAAAACAGTTTTCCAAGAATCTCAGTCCTAAATGGACTTTCTGATGGCAAAATCTTACCAGACTGGGCTTTTACTTGACCAGATTGTGGCTTATTTGCACTTCGTAAGGCTTCTAATGTAAAAACTGTAAATTGTGTCAGTTGTATAAAGTGTGGTGTGTCTGTCACTTGGTGGTGTTACCCTCTGGGAATGGAGCGTCCTCCTGACTTGTTCCTGAGCATCTACCCAAATCCTTCTCTCCTGGGTTGTTCTTCCTAAAGGCCATCCCTACATTATGACCGTTGGGTGTGTGGCTGGCGACGAAGAGTGCTACGAAGTGTTTCATGAACTCTTTGATCCCATTATCGAGGACCGCCACGGGGGATACAAGCCTTCGGACCAGCATAAGACGGACTTGAATCCTGATCACCTGAAGGTAGAGAGGCCTCTTTGAAAAGCTGTGCATGTTTGATCCGCAGGAAAAATAGCATGCGCTTAACAAAATCTTGGCTAGTCCTGCTCCTGTCTGCAATTTCTAGTAACACGGCTGACTTCTGGCAAAGTCCTGTATGGCACAAACCGTCAGTGCTTTGCTCTTCGGCAAGCACGAGACAGGCCTTGGCTTTAGGTGGGTGGCCGTGTTGGCCTGAAGCAGCAGCACAATGTTTGTGTCCAGTGGCACCTCATAAGACCAACAGAGTTTTATTCTGGGCATAAGAAGAAGAAGAGATTGGATTTATACCCTGCCCTTCACTACCCAAGGGAGTCTCAGAGCAGTTTACAAACTCCTTTCCCTCCCCACAACAGACACCCTGTGAGATAATAGAAAAAGAAGAAGAGATTGGATTTATACCCTGCCCTTCACTACCCAAGGGAGTCTCAGAGCAGTTTACAAACTCCTTCCCCTTCCCCTCCCCACAACAGACACCCTGTGAGGTAGGTGGGGCTGAGGGAGCTCTGACAGAAACTGCTCTTTCAAGGACAGCTCTTGTCAAAACTATGGCTTGCCCAAGGCCATCCAGCCAGGTGCACGTGGAGGAGTGGGGAATCAAACCCGGTTCTCCCAGATTAGAGTCTGCACACTTAACCACTACACCAAACTGGCTCTCATAAGCTTGTGTGTGCATGGTATCTGAAGAAGTGGGCACGCACAGGAAAGCTTAGACCCGGAATAAAACTTCATTGGCCTTAAAGGTGCCACTGGCCTCAAACTTTGTTCTGGCCTTAGTTTTGTATAGTGTGGCTTAGGCCTGCCGGGGGGATGTTTTGCAGATGGAAGGATTTCTGCTGGCAGAGGGCAGTTCTTTCCCCAGAGCAGCATTTGGGGGGCCTCTGGGGCTGCAATGGGGGGGGGGAGAAGAGCAGGCAAGAAAGCCGTACTCTGTGAGCAGAGCTCCTTTTATCTGCAGCAGTGCTCCGGTGCATCCGTACCAACGCCTAGCTGATCTCATCAGCATCTAGGTTGGCTGGAAATAACCCCGTCGAAAGGTGCGGGGGGGCCGAGGCCGTCACCAGTTAGCACAACTGATCTTTCACCTCTGAGTCTGCCCCCAGGATCACCAGTCTACGAGACCAAATCCCTGACCTAGGTCAGCAGACAAGGGTGGGTGCAAATACTGGGTCTTTGCGTTGTCTGTGGTGTGGGTGCTTGGCCAGGGGCCATTGGTCGCCGTCTTCCCTGAATAGTTCCTCTTAAATGGGCATGTGATGCCCATGGAGAGAGACCGGAGGGAGTGAAGCCTCCTTGCGTTGGACTCTTCTGTTAACAAACACTGGGTGCAACATGAACCATTGTCTTTGGGCTTCCTCAGGAGGTGGTGGGCTGTCTTTGGAGGTTTTCAAGCGGAGCCTAGATGGCCATCTGACAGCAATGCTGATTGTGTGAATGTGGGCAGATCACGAGAAGGGAGGGCAGGAAGGGTTGCATCAGTGCTTAGTTCTCATGGCCCTTTCTTACACGCCCAGGGAAATGCCGATCGCCACTTTGGGGTCAGGAACGGTGTTCCCTCTAAGCTGAGTTAGCGTGAGCTAGCTCACAGATTTTTATCCTCCAGCTCACACATTTTTTGCCTTAGCTCAGGAAAGATGGCTCCCGAGCGAACTAATTTATGCAGTAGTCAAATCGCTCGCTCACAACTTTAATGCCAGTAGCTCACAAAGTAGCATTTTTGGTCACAAGACTCCACAGCTTAGAGGAAGCCTTGGGCAGGAAGTAATTCCTTCCAGGCCAGTTTGGTTACTCGGGGTATGTGTGGGGGAGGTAGTTGTGAATTTCCTGCGTTGTGCAGGGGGTTGGACTAGACGACCCTGGCGGTCCCTTCCAACTCATTGATTCTTCCCCTGCCCCCAAGTGTAGTTGGCTTGTAAGGAAGAGCAGTCCTGGAAGGCTGATGTCATTGTTTGCATAGAAGAAACACAGGAGTGATCCAGTTTGGTGTAGTGGTTAAGTGTGCGGACTCTAATCTGGGAGAATAAGTCTGTCTGTGGCTACCAGCCGTGGTGACTGAGGGGAACTTCCACATTCAGAGGCAGTCAACCTCTGAATCCCATGTCCGGAAGGCAACATCAGGGGAAGGCCTCAGCCTCTGTGAACTGTTGATGCCACTCCAGAGGAACTGGTTGGCCACTGTGAGAGGCAGGATGCTGGCCTAGATGGACCACTGGTCTGATCCAGCAGGGCTCTTCTTATGTCCTTCCCCTTCTGTGGGAATATAAACAAAGTTGCTCAGGAATGTGGCCTTCTGCAGGACTACATACCTAGCACTGGCTAGAAGCTGGCCTTGCTTTAAAGGCTCTGGAAGGGAAGGGTCCCCTACCCGCAACCTGGCTCTGCTGCTGGCAAAATACTAGGTTTTTCTTCCCTCATAAGCGACCCTAGCCCGAGAAGTCAGTGGTGAACTTGTGAGCCGTGGGCTGAGGGCTCTGCCACCTGACCTGCGATTTAATGAGCCGTGAGGGAATCTTCAGCCGTAAAGCTGAGCCGGGTGACTTCAGGCCTTGCCAAATCCTCCTTGGCTCCCTTCCCCAGAGCCTCCCACGAGTAGCTGGCTCAGGGGAAGGATGTGGTTCTGAGTCTTGGGGTGGCGCTGCTTCAAGTTTCCCCCCCTTTCTCTCTTGTAGGGGGGTGATGACCTGGACCCCAACTATGTCCTCAGCTCACGAGTTCGAACCGGTAGGAGCATCCGTGGCTACTGTCTGCCCCCCCATTGCAGCCGGGGAGAGAGGCGTGCGATCGAGAAGCTGTGTGTGGAAGGTAAAGGACGCCGTTGCTTGCTCTCTGTGGCAAATGTGGCTGTGTAACCTTGGGGATGACTGGATGCTTGAAGGTTCACAGGGGCGGGGAATGAGGAATGCCTTGACTTGGATAGCCCAGACTAGTCTCGTCAGGACTTGGAAGCTAAGCAGGGTCAGCCCTGGTTGGTGTTTGGATGAGAGACCACGAAGGAAGTCCCGGGTTGCTATGCAGAGGCAGGCCATGGCAAAGCACCTCTGAACATCTCTTGCCTTGAAAACCCTACGGAGTCTCCATAAGTCAGCTGTTGGGGAAATGAGGGCTGCGGGAACCTTTTCACGCACTCCCGTCCCGACTGTGTTCATTTTGGGAGGGAGAGAAGCTGGCTTCCCAATCGCATCGAGAGAGAGAGACAGTCGGTTGTTCTAAACCGAAGCTCAATTCCGTTACACACTCTTAAATCAGAAAACACTTCTACAGCATTTCAGTATTCAACACAGGATATTTCAGCACAACCCCCCAATGCGTAAAACAGGGCACTTTTAATTCTAGAAAGGATATCCTTGGTTGCTCTGGCAAGGGCAACAACGGAAGGGGGGCCAGCCAGAACAACTCAGACATTAAGTACCCTTTCCCAACCACAGATGCTAATGTAACTGTCAGTCAAGTCTGTGACAAGCATTTGAGAGACGTCTCTGATGTATACAGCAAAGCTCAGCCCTTTCTATGTCTGGGATCAGGAAAGTTGAGGACAGCTGGGTTAAGTCAGGCTCACTCAACAGAGTCAAACTAGTTACAGATCTATTTAGAATTTGATAATGTATAAACACTCCAAAAGGTAAAAGCCGTGTGAGGCAAAAATCACGTATAGGGTTATTGGTACCAGAAGGCCACAGCGCTTAGCAGAGCCCTGAAGCCTCCTGGGAAACAGAACCAAAGATTCAACTTTAGAGGTCAATTGCTATAGAAATTAAAGTCACGTAGGTTTAACAGAGAACTGAGGCTCAATCCATGCCCTAATTCCATGACAATAGCCTCCTCAGTCTCCTCAGGACTCAGAAGCTAAGCCAGGGCCAGCCCTGGTCAGTGTTTGAATGGGAGACCACCAAGGAAGTCCAGGGTTGCTATACAGAAGAAGAAGAGAAGAGATTGGATTTATACCCCACCCTTCACTACCCAAAGGTGTCTCAGAGCGGCTTACAAATTCCTTTCCCTTCCCCTCCCCACAACAGACACCCGGTGAGGTAGGTGGGGCTGAGAGAGCTCTTGACAGAAACTGCTCTTTTTCAAGAACAGCTCTTATCAGAACTATGGCTTGCCCAAGGTCATCCAAGCAGCTGCAAGTGGAGGAGTGGGGAATCAAACCCGGTTCTCCCAGATTAGAGTCCGCGCACTTAACCACTATACCAAACTGGCTTTTAACATATTCGTGGTCCACAAGCACTTCAGGATAGGGACACTCAGATCTATCATGGAAGTGCTTTGCAGGCAGTGGCAAGTCACCCTAAATGTCTCTTGCCTTGAAAAGCCTAGGGGGTCACCATACGTTGGCTGCAACCCAATGGCAAAAAAGGGAGGAGGTGAAATGGGCTGTGTGCATGGAGGAGGTGCTACCTCTAGGGATGTTTAGGTGCCCCTGCAAAGGTGATTTGGTGTAGTGGTTAAGTGTGCGGACTCTAATCTGGGAGAACCGGGTTTGATCCCCCACTTCTCCAGTTGCAGCTGCTGGATGACCTTGGGCAAGCCATAGTTCTGTCAGGGCTGTCCTTGAAAGAACAGTTCTGGAAAGAGCTCTCTCAGCCCCACCTACCTCACAGGGTGTCTGTTGTGGGGAGGAGAAAGGAAAGGAGTTTGTAAGCCACTCTGAGACTCCGAGTGAAGGGCAGGGTATAAATCCAATCTCCTCCTCCTCCTCCTCTTCCTTTGCCAGGGCTCTTAATGGGGTGTCCAGAAGCAGGCAATTTTTAGGGGGAGGGCTTACTTAGGGGGCTTAGTGTATATTTGAAATCTGGGGTTGTAAACTGCCTTGAGCCATGGGGGAAAGTGGGTTATAAATATTCCTGTGTAATATATTTGGTCTGGCTGTTTTATTACTCCAGCCGGACCAAGCGTCTTAAATAAAGATGAAAATTCTGGTATGTACTTAATCCAAGGCACTTTAATCGGCATCTTTAATATTCAGAGGGTGATAGATGAAGTTTCTCTTTCAGTAAAGGCTAACATGGAGCAATCCAAGCAATATCCGGGCCAGGAGTTGGGCCGTGGGGCTCCCGTTAGGAGAAAGAAGTCATTCTTGGCTTGTATTTGTACGTGTGTTGGGAGAGGTCAGCACGTGTTCCACTGGGAACTTCCACCTCCTGGCAGAAGGCAAAAAGTATCTTTTGTTTTGGGCATCGTTGCACAACTGTCAAACGACTTGACCAGTCAAATATTGCTCAAACATATTTCATTATTCTATTAAGTTAACCATTTCAAATTTTCATTCTAAGTACTGCAGACAATTATTGTACATAGCAACTTAATACAAAGAGAAAATATGTTTACAGCCATTCATAAAAAGCAAAAGGATGTTTCAGTTTGGGGTAGTGGTTAAGTGCGCGGACTCTAATCTGGGAGAACTGGGTTTGATTCCCCACTTGCACCTGCTGGATGACCTTGGGCAAGCCATAGTTCTGGCACAGCTGTTCTTGAAAAAAGAGCAGTTTCTGTCAAGAGCTCTCTCAGCCCCACCCACCTCACAGGGTGTCTGTTGTGGGGAGGTGAAGGGAAAGGAGTTTGTAAGCTGCTCTGAGACTCCCTTGGGTAGTGAAGGGCGGGGTATAAATCCCCCTCCTTTTCCTCCTCCTCCTCCTCTTGATAGAATGGTTCTTAAAACCTCAATGGATATGAGACTTAAGCAAGTTACAAAACAAATGTCCTTAAATAATTTAACAGCTTTCGGTGTTTATTTTATCAATGGAAACAACCTGCTGGATAGTTTTCTGTTGTTTTTGTCCTGAAACACTAGGAGCACCGACAGTTTCAAATGTTTCTGTGTGTGTGTGTGAGGGAATGGAATTTAGAACTTGAATAAAGCAAGGGAAGGGTTGGTTACAAATATTTGCCGGCCAGTTTATCCTTTTTGGAGTAGTGCCTGATGCTACAACCAGTAGAAGAACCTTTGCTGTTAGGTCTACCCTTGAATGTCACAGGGCTGGTAAATACGGGACCCCTTCCTGCCCTTGCTATTGAATGGTAACTTCTAAATCAAAAAGTTAAAATGCCACCCAAAACAAGTGGCATCATTAGGTTCATGGAATACTTGCCTATAGTCAACGAACAGATGGCTAACTGACCAGCACCCTTTCCATGCTAGAGGGGTGAGAGAGCCTTAAGAAGTCATGCTGATTTGATTTATGGAGTTCTTGGAGAGGAAGCTGCTGATAAACTGGGTCTGGAGCTGACTGGTGAATGCCCCTGCAGAGGTATCCTAAGATGCAGAACTTCTTGGGAGGCATACTTGAGCTTCATTGTGCCACATTCCTGGTATACAAGCCCATGGACTGAAACTAGGGCTTTGCTTGTGCCCTTCTGTAGGCAAACTATTGAAAACCAACCAACCAACCTCAATTTAGAATCTTAGAATCAGAGTTGGAAGGGGCCATACAGGCCATCTAGTCCAACCACCTGCTCAATGCAGGGTCAGCCTAGAGCATCCCTGACAAGGGTTTGTCCAGCCGCTGCTTGAAGACTGCCAGAGAGGGGGAGCTCACCACCTCCTTGGCAGCTGATTCCACTGCTGCACAACTCTTACTGTCAAAACGTTTTCCCCAGTATCCAGCTGGTACCTTCCCGCCCTTAATTTAAACCCATGATTGCGAGTCCTTTCCTCTGCTGCCAACAGGAACAGCTCCATGCCCTCCTCTAAGTGACAGCCCTTCAAAGACTTCAAGAGAGCAATCACGTCCCCCCTCAGCCTCCTCTTCTCCAGACTGAACAGTCCCAAGTCCCTCAGCCTTTCCTCACAGGGCTTGGTCTCCAGGCCCTTGATCATCCTCGTCACTCTCCTCTGCACCCGCTCCATTCTGTTCACATCCTTTTGGAAGTGAGGCCTCCAGAACTGCACACAGTATTCCAGGTGCAGCCTGACCGATGCAGTGTACAGCGGGACCAGTGTTCCCTCTAAACTGAGTTAATCTGAGCTAGCTCACAGTTTTTTAGCCTCTGGCTCACACATTTTTGCCCTAGCTCAGGAAGGATGGCTCCAGAGCAGACTGATTTATGCAGGAGCCAAATCGCTCGCTCAAAACTTTAATGCCAGGAGCTCACAAAGTTGAATTTTTGCTCACAGGACTCCACAGCTTAGAGGGAACATTGAGCGGGACTATGACATCTTGTGATTTGGATGTTACGTTCTCTGTCCTCCTTTCAGCTCTGGCTAGCCTGGAAGGAGATCTCAACGGGAAGTATTATGCTCTGAAGAACATGACAGATGCGGAGCAGCAGCAGCTTATCGACGACCACTTCCTCTTCGACAAGCCCGTTTCCCCTCTGCTCTTGGCCTCTGGGATGGCACGGGACTGGCCTGATGCCCGGGGCATCTGGTGAGTAACATTCCTCAGGAAGAATCCCTCCCTGTTGAAAGTGGATACATCTGCAGGAGTGGCCGCTGAATTCAGTAGTTAGTTTTAGTAGGTTTGGGTGTTTTGGGTAGTTAAAATGGTGTCTACTGTCAAATGGTCCCATCCAGTAATACCCAGTTTTTCCAAATAGCATTTGACAAAGTGTGCATGCACACGAAAGCTCATACCTCGAATAAACCTTTGTTGGTCTTAAAGGTGCCCCTGGACTCTAAATCTGTTCTTGTGTTTTTGCTTGACGAGACTGTTTTCGCATGTCACACTTCCCTGGTTCCAACCTGATCTGTACAATGTCTAGTTAAGTCTGTAGCCAGAAATACCGGTTCCAGGCACAAAGGAATTTGTATCCCAATCATGGGGGCAGGGGCGGTGCTTCGTCTAGCACTGATCTGTTGTGACTTGGCAATGGCACGTGAATATTGGGGGGGAAAGATTACAAGACTAAAAATGGTACTAAGATTTGGGTTGGCATACAAACGGTTACTTACTTAGCCCTCACCCCTTTTCAACTACCCTTTTGCGATTGAGTAAACTAAGAAGCTGCGATGGCTCAAGAGGTTAAGACGCTGAACTGCAGGCTGTGGACGGTCGGTAGTTAAGCAGTTCGAGACCCGAGTGTGCCGCATGATGGAGTGAGCTCCCGTCTCTAGTTCCAGCTCCTGCCAACCTAGCAGTTCGAAAGCAAGAAATTGCAAGTAGATAAATAGGTACCACTTCAGTGGGAAGGTAACAGCGTTCCGTGTGCCTTGGTGTTTAGTCATGCCGGCCACATGACCACGGAAATGTCTTCGCACAGCGCTGGCTCTTCGGCTTTGAAACGGAGATGAGCACCGCAACCCTAGAGTCGGATTCGACTGGCTTTCGAGCAAAGGAACCTTTACCTTTAAACCAAGAAGGGATCACAGTTATCCATATAGGAAATAACACCAAACAAGCAGATACAGTGATGTGAATGACTAACAGGGGTGTCGGACTCATTTGTTATGGAGGCTGGATCTGACATAAATGAGTCCTTGTTGGGCTGGGCCATGCGTGTCATAAAAGGTAATGCCAGGTAGCAGAGATATAAACTTTATAAAGGACACAGACAAACACAATTAAAGATTTTTTAAAAACTTTAACACATTTCCAGTGAGTTTGACACCACTAGGACATTTAGTAAATCTTTCCAAGATAAACATCATATTATATTATAAATGAAACTTTACAATATTACAAGGAAAAGTCCATCATTCTCAATGAGCACCTGGATATAAGTTCATTTCGTCCCAGTCTTCCTCAGGAGTAACCCTGTTATATTGAAAGGCGTCAGCCTCTTGCTACAGCTCATTATTTTGTTAGGAACAAAGCAGTGCTTAACTTCTTTACTTTCTTCAAATTGTCCTGGGAAAAAGCCCTGGTTATCTAAAATGAAAAGCAACATGAAACTGAATGGAATATTGTTTTTTATAATTTAATCTTTTTTAAACTTAATACATTTAAATTTAAAAATAATAATATGATTTTTAACTTCTGGTTCTATTTCAAGCCAACTCTTGTCTTCTCCAACTAGATGCAATAGCCTTCTATATTTTGCTGGCTGAAATGCTCAAGTCTGGTAGCACCTTAGAGACCAGCCAGATTTTTGAGGTGTGAACGTTGTCTCTCGAAAGCTCATACCTTCAAAATCTTGTTGGTCTCTAAGGTGCGCTACTGGACTCTAATCTAGCTGTCTATTCAGGATTTGAATACAGGCTCCGGTCCAGCCCCACGCCTCTATGCCATGCTGGCTCTGGTTCTGAATACATAAAGGAGTTTCAGGCTGCCTCCTATCTGAAGCCTTTGATTCCCTGGCCATATATATGATAAAAAATATATATATTCTGGGAAAGCCAAGAATCTAGGCTCTAGATGGTTCTGTAACTATGCAACCACCCTGTACGAGATCCTTAGCTGGCAATCTCTCTCATTGCCTGGGTGTAATTTTTCCAGTGTGCTCCTTGGTAACTTTATCTCTCTAGCACCAAGCTAGTGTGCTGGCAAGTGCTGTCCATGGTAGCTGAAATTACAGAGCGGGAGGCCAGCTTCAGCAGCATCCCAGGAAAGGGCTTTGTTGTTGTTCAGTCGCACAGTTGAGTCTGACTCTTCACGACCCCATGGACAAGATCTCGCCAGGCCTTCCTGTCTTCCGCCGTCCTCTGAAGTTTGCTCAACTTCATGTTCGTTGCATCTATGACACTGTCTAACCATCTCATCCTTTGCCCTCCCCGTCTTCTTTGACCTTCAGTCTTTCCCAGCATCAGGGTCTTCTCCAGTGAGTGCTCCCTTCTCATTTGGTGGCCAAAGTATTTGAGCTTCGGATACTAGAGAGTTTCAAGATCCACCTCTGGTGTTCGCAAGCAGCGATAGGCATGTCTGAAGGACCCACAGGCTGGCTAAGCCAAGGCACAAGGGGTGGTCTGAGGAGCTGGAAGTAGTCTGAGAACTTTCTGAATTCAGGGTTTCTCAGTGGGGCCAAACGATGTGCGCCTTCCTTGTTTACCTGTATTCTGCTTGCACTGAGCTGTGCTAGAAGCATCATCGGGAATGTTGTGCAAACCCTGGGGCTGTCTCTGGTTTTTGGAGAGATGCTGGGGAGCCGATCTTCCCTCCCCCCTCCAGCACGGTGCTGCTGGCCCATAAGAACATAAGAGAAGCCAATGTTGGATCAGGCCAGTGGCCCATCCAGTCCAACACTGTGTGTCACACAGTGGCCAAAAATACCAGGTGCCATCAGGAGGGTCCACCAGTGGGGCACTGAACGCTTGTCAGCTGGGTCCCTGCAAGTCTAAGGTGATCGAAAATCGCTGTGGACTTCCCTCCAAGGAAGGGGAGGTCACCCTATTTGTGGCAACTGCTCATTTCCTGGTGGGATCAGATGGGCCATGCACTACTGATGGATGACAGAGACCAGATGGGTGGGCCTTGGCTGACAGCCCAATGGCTGATTGCCAGTCTTTTGTCCCACGGAAGTAACTTCATTGTCACCGTACTGAGGCAGGAGGGGATTGCCTTTGGAATCATAAGGTTGGCATTTATTTAGTAGCTATTTTGGTGTAGTGGTTAAGTGTGCGGACTCTAATCTGGGAGAACCGGGTTTGATTCCCCACTCCTCCACTTGCACCTGGCTGGATGACCTTGGGTCAGTCACAAGCTCTGGAAAAGTTGTTCTTGAAAGAACAGTTTGTGCCAGAGTTCTCTCAGCCCTACCCACCTCACAGGGTGTCTGTTGTGGGGAGGGGAAGGGAAAGGTGTTTGTAAGCCACTCTGAGTCTCTGTGTGAAGGGTGGGATATAAATCCAATCACCTCCTCCTCCTCCTCCTCCTTCTGCCTCACTCCCCATTGGGGACCCATTGTGACCTACATTGTCACCCCCCCTTTGTCTTTGCAACCCTGCAAGGTAGGCTAGGCTGTGGGAGTGACCAGCCCAAGTCCACCCCGTGAACTTTCATGGCCAAGTGGGGATTCGAATGTGGGTCTTCTGGATCCTAGGCTGCTTTAACCCATGCTGGATAATGCGCTTTCAGTGCATGTTAGGAATGGCTTGTGACTCAATTTTCCTGTGTGAAACAGGAAAATCCACTTGCAAAGGATTGCTGGAGTGCACTGAAAGTCCAGTAGGCCCTGACCTGGGTAGCTCAGGCAAGGCCAGTCTTGTCCTATCTCGGAAGCTAAGCAGGGCCGACCCTGGCAAATACTTGGGATGGGAGACTGCTGAGGAATACCAAGGCAGGCAATATCAGGCCACCTCTCTGAAATGACCAAGCCCCACTAGGCATTGCCAGAAGTCAACCATGACTTCCAGGCACGCAAGCGCGCACACACACACACACGCACACACACACACAATGCTAACTCCCCAATTAAGAAGGCAAGCCCAGTCTCGTCAGGTCTTGGAAGCTAAGTAGGGCCGACCCTGGCAAGTACTTGGATGAGAGACTGCCAAGGAATCCCAGGGCCAGGTTGCAGAGGCAGACAATATCAAGCCACCTCTCTGAAACATCCTAGCCCCACTAGGGGGTCACCAGAAGTCTCCATGACTTTCAAGCACACAAGCTTATACACACACACACACACACAATACTCACCCCCCAAAAAACTGTGACCTGGATAGCTCAGACAAGCTAAGCAGAGCCAGCCCTGGCAAGTACTTGGATGGGAGATCTCCAGAGAATACCAGGGCTGGGAGGCGGAGGCAGGCAACATCAAGTCATCCATCTGAAACATCTTTGCTGCACTAGTGGTCGCCAGACTTGCGGGCATGTCAGTGCATGCACACACTCACAAAGTAATTGCCCCCAAAGAAAAAAGAGAGTGCATTATCCAGCGTGGGTTAAAGCAGTCCTAGTCTCTGACTCTCACCGTTACAACACTGAATGGGTCCAAATGGGTCAAGCGCTAGGAAACCTATTCTGTGCTGGGAAATGATAGCAGAGTGTTGAAACCTGTGGCCAGCGCAACATTCTGGTTAAGGAAGGCAGCTCAAAACTGTTTGGGATGGTTCCACTGGGCTACCGTTACGGCAAGGTAGGGATGTGTATTCGGTTCGTATGAACCGAATGCACCCCCGAAAATGGCCCATTCGGGCCCCTTTCAGACTGCTGCAGGCTGATTCAGATTCTCCGAATTTCGGCAGCAATTCGGCCCCATTATATCCTGTGGGCCATTGAAGTCAATGGCAAAAACATAAGGTATATTCTGGGGGCTGGAGGGAAGGGGGTTTGAGGGAGAGGCTCCAAACTTGCAGGGTAGCTGCTGGAGCCTCTCCCCAAGATACCCACCAAGTGTCAAAAACATTGGACTCCCCAGTCAACCCCAACTGCCAAAACTGACATGTGGGAGTCTTTCTGCCGGCCAAAATTGATTCTGCCCAATTCGGCCGAATCCGAAACGGGCCAATTTTTTTTTTTTGCACACCCCTACTGCAAGGTAAGAATGCCAGACTAGAAGACATTTCAAAAGAGGAAACCTGTTTGGTATGGATATTAAAATGCTTGGATAAAAAGCACTCGGGGGAGATCTACAGCTGTCTCGGTTTCTCTCTCCTCCAGGCACAACGACAACAAGACCTTCCTTGTGTGGATCAACGAGGAGGACCACATTAGAGTTATTTCCATGCAGAAAGGGGGGAACATGAAGGAAGTCTTCAACCGCTTCTGCACTGGACTAACGCAGGTGAGCGGAGCGGGGCGGGCGGGGAAGGCGCATTCCAGGGCTCAGTTGTGCATTGCAGAGCTGCCTGCAGCAGCCTTTAAAATGCTGACTTAGTCTCAACTCTAAAATAACTGGGGATTTGAAGCTGCTGTGTTTTTGGATGGAGCTTTTGGTGCACTGCGCTTGCAGTGAGCCAAAGGGGATCTTCCCGGTCAACAGAGCCTGGCCGTTAGGACTGGAATCGCTGTCCCGTTTGTACTGGGAGGAGCAGAGACGTGGGAATACTGACCTTTGTGTCTTCTCTGTCCCGTTTGGATTGGGAGCAGCAGAGATCAAAGAACACTGGCCATGTATCTTCCTGTTAACAAATAAATTAATTTTGCCTTGAATTCCCTGTTGGGTTTTTAATCTTGAAACAGCCACTATAGCATATTCTGCAGGTTTAAGGAATGGAGTTGTATAGCACTCCTTGCTAGAGTAAGACGCATGTATATAGAGAAACATAGAGCTGCAAGGGAAGCCAGGGGTCATCTAGTCCAACCCACGACACAATGCAAGACATTCACAGCTATCCCCCCCCCCCAGTGACCCCTGTTGTATATACCCATTCAGTGCACAGAAGCAGTTGTCCTAAGGCACATGTCCACGAAGGATAATTTATCTGCATTGTTTATGTTCACACTTCTGCCCCCGTAAGGGGGTCCAAAGAGGCTTCCATTGTTCTCCTCTCTTCCATTGTATCCTCACAACAATCCTGTGAGGTCGGTAAGGCTGAGCATGTGTGACTGGCCCCAGGTCACCCGGCAAACTTTCCATGGTGGAATGGGGATTGGAATCCGGGTCTCCCTAATCATAGTCTGGTGCTCTAACTAAGCCACACTGGCATGTTTGACACGTTTTGCCAGACTTTGCATCAATAGTTTGGTGCAGTGGTTAAGAGTGGCGGACTCTAATCTGGAGAACCGGGTTTGATTCCCCACTCTTCCACATGCAGCCGGCTGGGTGACCTTGGGTCAGCCACAAGTTCTCTCAGAGCTGTTCTCTCAAGACCAGTTCTCTCAGAGCTCTCTCAGCCCCGCCTACCTTGTAGGGTGTCTGTTGTGGGGAGAGCAAGGGAAAGAGTTTGTAAGCCACTCTGAGTGAAGGATGGGGTATAAGTCCAATCACCTCTTCTTCTATTGGTCTGTTCCTAGCAATTGGTGCCAAAGATCGGGGACCACCAACGGCCTGCAAAGCCATACTCTCCCTCCCCCCACATTGCTAGGGTTATCAGGAAGGTGTAAGAAGTTGCCTTATTCAACAAGGGATGACGTCCTTTCAAGTTTCCAGTTTAGCATTCTGCCTGTGTGGCCTCTGGGCTATCAGGGCATTGGCTAAACCAGCTGGCTTTAGCTCGGATGGCTTCTTCTTCTACCTTGGCTTATACATCATCTGCTGTAGGGCCTTTTCTTACATGCCCAGGGAATTACTAATTGCCACTTTGGGATCAGGAAGCAATTTTTCTGCAGGCCAGTTTGGCTGGAGATCCTGGAGGGATTTTTTTTTTGTCATCTTCTAGGCATGGAGCAGGGGTCACTGGGAGTGTGGGGGGAGGATTTGTGAATTTCCTGCATTGTGCTGGGGGTTGGACTAGATGACCCTGGAGGTCCCTCCCAACTCTATGATTCTATACTGACTAAACATTCCAGTGGTATTCCTAACTTGGAGCATCAAACTGCACCTGCACAGTAGGAGAAATAAGTTGGCTCCCAAGCTGTTTTCAGGAGAACTGCAGCATGTGTCTTGATTCCACAATGTAGGCTGCCTTGTTCTCAAAGGGGGGCAGCAACTCTGCCCTCCCCCCCTAAAATCTCTGGGGCTGAGGTGGAGTTTAAATTGCCGTAAACTGAACAAGGAGGATCTCTGGGTCCGTCTGTGGGGAAAGGAACTGGTTCTTCACACTCGTGTGTCTCCCTTTGGGCCTAGATCGAAACGCTCTTCAAGTCCAAAAACTATGAATTCATGTGGAACCCCCACCTTGGCTACGTCTTAACCTGCCCTTCCAACCTCGGGACGGGCCTCCGCGCCGGCGTTCACATTAAGTTACCCAACCTTGGCAAGCATGAGAAGTTTGGTGACATCCTGAAGCGGCTGAGGCTGCAGAAACGGGGCACAGGTGAGTCGTCGGACATCCGGGGGGGGGGGTTCTGCCCACTTTGTGCGTGGCCTTTCAGGGTGAAAAGAACCGGGGTGCTTTGCACGGAGGTAGCACGACCACTCAATGAAATTACTGAGCCGTCAGGTTAGAGCAGATAGAAAGAACTACTTCTTTACCCAAAGAGTGATTAACACATGGAATTCACTGCCACAGGAGGTGGTGGCAGCTACAAGCATGGATGGCTTCAAGAGGGGATTGGAGAAACATATGGAGCAGAGGTCCATCAGTGGCGATTAGCCACAAGGTATAGATAGGAACTCTGGGGCAAGGGATGCTCTGTAGTCTTGGTGCTTGGGGGGGTCAACAGTGGGAGGGCTTCTAGTGTCCTGGCCCCACTGCTGGACCTCCTGATGGCACCTGGTATTTTTGGCCACTGTGTGACAGAGTGTTGGACTGGATGGGCCATTTGCCTGATCCAACATTGACTTCTCTTATGTTCTTATGTTTCTGCCAGTGTGTTAAATAATGTCCAGAGAGGCTGCTGTGTCTTATTGTTTCTCTAAGGGTGGTTCATTTACTTTTGTAAGCTTGGTGGCTACAGTCTTGTATCAGGAGACCTGGGTTAAGACGTTGCCTGCACCATAGGTCTAGTGACAAAGTTTCTCTTGGATGGGGTCCTCAACACAGTGCCTGTGTGCCCACAGTGTCATGGTGCCCACCCACACTTTTCCTGGCACTCTTCAAGTGTCTTTAGAAAGTGGGCACGAGTGGGTGGGGCTTTTGCCCAGCAAGGCTTCTGATTGGCCATTGGAAATTTGATGGTCATGCATGTTTTTTGAAACCCTGCTTTGGCAGCAGCTGCCATTACAGCCCAGGGATCCTGGCTGTGTGACTGAAGGGAAGTTGCAGCACCCATTTTGGGGTTGTGCCCATCACACTAGGTCAAAATTCCAAAGGTGCCCACAGGCTCAAAGAGGCTTCCCCCCCCCCCGCTCTTGGATGTAGTTTTGCTATCTGTAAAATGCCTAAAGGTACCTTCTCGCTTTCAAGTTGAAGGCCCCACCTGTATTGCTCCAGTGAGCCAGTTTGGTGTAGTGGTTAGGAGCGCGGACTCTAATCTGGGAGAACCGGGTTTGATTCCCCACTCCTCCATGTGCAGCTGCTGGTGTGACCTTGGGTCAGTTAACAAGTTCCTTCAGAGCTGTTCTCTCATGAGCAATTCTCAAAAGAGCTCTCTCAGCCCCACCTACCTCACAGGGTGTCCGTTGTGGGGAGGGGAAGGGAAAGGGATTGGAAGCTGCTCTGAGACGCCTTCGGGTAGTGAAGGGTGGGGTATAAATCCAATCTCTTCCTCTCTTCTTCTTCAGTTGAGGAAGAGAAGCCTTCCTTCAGGCATCTGGAAAAGTGCTGTGAAATTGTTTCACTTCTAGAAGTGGAGCCTAGCTGGGCCAATCCGTTCAGCTCAGAGAAGGACACACGAAATTCATCAGGACAATGCTAATTTTACTAACAGAGATAAATATGGAACCTAAGAGGTGTTTGCAAGGACGTTGCATAAACACAGGGGTGGATTCCTACAGACCAGTGTAGTAAATTACCATGGAGATGGTTTATTTTGGGCTTTGGTTGATTCAGTGCTGGAGATGCTTAAAAGGCATGGATGGATTTTTGTTTCTGGACTGCTTCCCAAGCTTTCCAGTGCGTGTTTTTGTAACTAAAAAAAAATGGGAGGCCTGTTTCTCTCACACTGTAGAAGCAAATTATCCAGGCCGCAAAGGCCACGATTGCTCTCATTCCACTAGTGTTGCTGCAGGAACTATTGATCTGGATGGGCACCTCTTGGCCCCATGGACCAGAGACACAACAGGCAGCTTCCAGAGACTAGGCCTTGCTCCTGTGGTTCTGTTAGGGTGTGGCAGATTCTGAACACAGAGACATGGCAAAACTGCCTGCTCTCAGCAGAGCCTGATAAGAAGGCAGAGCTAGACCAGAACAGCAAAGGTTCTAGAAACTTCCCAAAACATCCATCCGCCATCTTGTGCACACTTTCTTGTGGCTTCAATAGCATGTTCTTGGCTGCTTTTCAGGGCCACAGGCTAAGATCTAAGGACCAAGCGCCTTCTGGCTTGCACCTCTTGGCCATAAGAACATAAGAGATGCCAATGTTGGATCAGGCCAAAGGCCCATCCAGTCCAACACTCTGTATCACACAGTGGCCAGAAATACCAGGTGCCATCAGGAGGTCCACCAGTGGGGCCAGGACATTAGAAGCCCTCCCACTGTTGACCCCCCCCCCAAGCACCAAGAAGACAGAGCATCCCTTGCCCCAGAGTCCCTATCTATACCTTGTGGCTAATAGCCACTGATGGACCTCTGCTCCATGATACATACCTGAGACACAAAGCGCAAAAATGAAAGCATATCTGAGATGTGGCCGTGGTGTGTGGTGGATGCAGAGTTTGGGGTTTTGTTTGTTTTTTGCTGTCAAGTTGCAGCTGACTTATGGTGACCCTGTATGCGTTTCAAGGCAAAGATACCTTTGGAGCTGGTTTGCCATTGCCTACCTCTGCTTAGGGACCCTGTTTGGTGTAGTGGTTAAGTGCACAGACTCTAATCTGGGAGAACCGGGTTTGATTCCCCACTCCTCCACTTGCAGCTGCTGGATGACCTTGGGCAAGCCATAGTTCTGTCAGAGCTGTTCTGGAAAGACCTCTCTCAGCCCCACTTACCTCACAGGGTGTCTGTTGTGGGGAGGAGAAGGGAAAGGAGTTTGTAAGTGAAGTGTGGAGCATAAATCCAATCTCTTCTTCTGGTGTTCCTTGTTGGTCTCCGGTCAAAGTACTGACCAGGACCCCTGCTTAGTTTCTAAAATCTGGTGAGGTTGGACTAGCCAGGGAATAAAGAGTTAATACTTGTTAAAGCTGGCAAACATAAATGATCCTTTAAAAAAACAAGTTACATGAAGCTAACGGGCTCCACATTGCCAGCGTAAGAGACAAAGAGGGTGAAGCTTTAATGAGACAAAAGCAGGTTAAACCCCAGTTGTCTTCGAACGGAAGTCCCTTCAGAGATGATTAGATATTTTGCGAGGAGCTTAATGCTCCTTCTTGGTGGTGTGGCCGTCGTCCTCGCTGTGTGGGACTTTGACAGACGCTAGCCAAAACAGTAAGACTGAAGAGCTTTTGTCATGCTTCCATGCGGCACTTGTGTGGGCCATTTGCTTTCCATCTTAGCACCGTATCTAATTTCTGTATCTGTCGGGAAGCTCTTGTTGAGCATCAGTCAAGTGGCCTAGTACCTGGGCCTGAGACGAAAGAGCTATGCTGCTTTCTGCAAGATGCGCTGGTGTATCCTAATAGGTTCAGAACTGGAACCCCCCACCCCCGTTCAAACCTTGGCTTTGCCTTGAACTCACGGAACGGCTGGGACCAAGCCACCAGGTTTCAGCTTGGGGATATCCTGTCAGTAAAACTCATTAGGAGCTCTTCTGTACATTCCCTGGATAGAAAAGGGGGAATTATTGTCTGTGCTTCTCCAGACTGGATACGTGTGTGCTTTCTTGCACTGTGCCAGTTAACTAGCTACAAAAAGCTCTTATTTATGTGGGTGGTGCATTAAAAGATGTACTGCTTTATCTGAATAATAGGATGAGCTGTCCTTAAGAACTGCCCCATCAGTGGCTACTAGCCATGTTGGTTATGGATCAACGACTCCTGCTGGTCCCTGGCCTAAAGGATGTCTGTCTTGCCTTGACCAGGGCCTTTTCTGCCCTGGCCCCTGCCTGATGGGATATGTTCCCCCTTGAGATCAGGGCCCTGTGCGATCATCTTCAATTCCGCACACCTGTAAGATGGAGCCGTTCATGTATGACCTCTCTGAGGTGTCTGTGTCTCCAACCTTCCGTCCATTAATACCAGTCTATACTTATTTGTACCAACTGGCCAGAGAACCTCTCCCAACGACTCAATTTCTGACTTGGGCTGTGTCTATCCATTTTAATGTTGTACGATGGTGTTTTAAATTTTAAATTCTGTTTATTGTATTGCCGATATGCTGTTACCCGCTTGTGGGAAGGGCGGGCTATAAATATGAAAAATAAAATAAGGGGAACATCCATACGTGGAGGTAACAATCCTCTGGAATCCAGTGCTAGGAGGGATTTTTGGGTGAAGCCTCAGCCTCTATGCCCTGTTGGTTGGTCCTCCAGGGCAGCCGGTTGGCCATTGTGTGAAACAGGATGCTGGGCTAGATGGACCACTGGCCTGAACTAGCAGGACTCTTAATATTCTTAAGAGCTTCTTTCACCTGAAAAGCTCATTGCCTTTTCTTTTCAAGATGGCTAGCAGCAGTGTTCCCTCTAAGCTGAGTTAGTGTGAGCTAGCTCACAGATTTTTAGCCTCTGACTCACACATTTTTGTCTTAGCACAGGAAGGATGGCTCCAGAGTAAACTAATTTATGCAGCAGCCAAATCACTCACTCACAACTTTAATGCCAGTCGCTCACAAAGTAGAATTTTTGCTCAGAAGACTCCACAGCTTAGAGGGAGCATTGCTCCAGAGCAAACTAATTTATGCAGCAGCCAAATCACTCACTCACAACTTTAATGCCAGTCGCTCACAAAGTAGAATTTTTGCTCAGAAGACTCCACAGCTTAGAGGGAGCATTGCTCCAGAGCAAACTAATTTATGCAGCAGCCAAATCACTCGCTCACAACTTTAATGCCAGGAGCTCACAAAGTAGATTACCGTATTTGCTCACAAGACTCCATAGCTTAAAGGGAGCATTGGCTAGCAGGAGTATTCTTTCCCAGTTCCTCAAGGAACATTGACCATAGCTTTTTGTGGTCGCTGTGGTGTTTCTCAGACCCATGGAGCATGTATTTATTTATATATTACATTTATACCCTGCCCTCCTAGCCATGGCTGGCTCACAACAGGACAAACCAGCGACAAATATAATAATAAAACCATGTGACAATACGTTAAAAGGTGCTAACAATAAAAGTAAAACCATCGAACAGATTGCATTTAAGATGGCGCTCAGCCTTCCGTGCCGTCCTGGTGGTCGATCTCGCTCTGATATTGTGTGCGTGGTTCAGGCTGCCTCAATATTTCAGGGAACAAGGCAACCCCCCCCCCCCCCCGGGGGGATGGCAATTGAACGCCTGGTGGAATCATAATGGTAATCATAAATGCCCAGTGGGGGAGCCATGAAGTTGAGATTGCCCCTGCAGAAAAAAAGTAGCACAATCTCACAATGAATTGCTACAGAAGGACGCAGGGCTTTCTTTGTAGAAAAAGCCCAGCAGGAACTCATTAGCATAATAGGCACCCCCACGTCACCAGAAGTGTGGTTATCCAGCCACACGCATCTTTTGCTTCTTATTCTGTTTACCTTGTTTGTTGTCAAAACCCAGAACTTTTTTTGTAGCAGGAACTTCTTTGCATGTTAAGCCACACACCCCTAATGTAGCCAATCCTAATGATTGGCTTGTGCGTGGCCTATTATGCTAACAAGTTCCTGCTGGGCGTGGCCAACTCAGGAGCCAGCTGGAAGGACGTATTTCCTTCACACAGCACAGAGTTGTTTTGTGGAACTTGCTGCCGTAGGATGTGGTCCTGGCCGCCAGCTTGGAGGGCTTTAAAAGGAGGAGTGGACAAGTTCACGGAGGACTGGGCCATCGATGGCTACTAATTGTGATGGATCTCTACTCCCTCCAGTAGCAGAGGGCGTATACCTCCTTAAATCAGTTGGTAGGGAGCACAGGCAAGATGATGCTCTTGCAGTCTTCCCGGGCTTCCTAGAGGCAGCTGTTTGGCCACTGCGTTATCAGAATGCTGGACTAGATGAACCTCCAGCACGGCTCTTCATATGTTCTTAGCTGTCTTAATTTCAATGTAACCGAAAGCTAATTTCTGGCAATCAATAGGTTCTGGAGATAAGCTTCGGGGCTGTGAAAAAGATCTTTTTCCATCTGCCATCTCCCTCCTCTCAGATCTCTGCCTTGTTAGAAAAAAATATATCTGCAAGCAGGACGACAGGAGCATATAAAACTCCCCCCAGAGATCCCGCTAATCTTGCCAAAACTCTTCTGACTCGGAATGTTGGTTCTAAAACTTGGCTGCGTATTTCTCTCCCCTCCACCACCTCTCGCAAAGAGTCTCTAGAGACAGCTGTATATGGTAATGACTCTGCCTGTCAACTTGATCTGTATTCTGGCTTGCTTCCCCCCCCCCTTTTTAGGCGGTGTCGATACAGCTGCCGTAGGAGGTGTTTTCGACGTCTCGAATGCCGACCGCCTTGGGTTCTCCGAGGTAGAGCTAGTACAGATGGTGGTCGACGGGGTGAAGCTGCTGATCGAGATGGAGAAATGCCTGGAGAAGGGCCAGCCCATCGATGACCTCATCCCAGCTCAGAAATGAAAAGCACTTTAACCCCTCCTGCCCCCCCCTCCGCCGCCGCCCATGCTTCTTCCTAACTTATTGGATGAATAATCAAAAGAAAATGAAATGCTCCAATAAACAAACACCTGTTGGGAGTCAAAAAAAGAGAAGAAAACGTCCACTTAGTAACACTTGTAGAAAAGTCTTCCATCCATATGTGTTAGAGTTTATTTTTTTGATGGCTGAGATGTCACTGACAAAACTGAAATAAAAAACATTGTTTGGCCTGACCCAAAAGTTGCAGTGGATTCTTAAAAGGGTGTGTTTTTGTGTGCATGTGGAAGAACTGGATTCTGGGGGATGACGAGAGACAGAGCTACGTTACAAGCTCAAATGGAAAAGATACTGGATGACCCGTCAGCAGATCTTCCCCGTGACTTTGTAAGCCCACATACAATCACACACAGTCCTGGTTTGGACTGGGGCCTTGTGTGGGAGGGAAGAGGTCCAAACATGGCTGTGTGTAGCTGTTTTCATCACATGAATGTATGAGGCTGCCTTATGGTAACTTAGATCCTTGGTACATCAAGTTCAGGATGGTCTACTCAGACTGGCAGTGACTCTCCAGGGTCTGGAGCTAATGGGGTTTGAACCTGGGACCTTCTGCATGCCAAGCAGATGGTCTTCCACTAAGCCACAGTTCATTCCCCAAAGAACTCAGTGGGCCAAGTGAGCTAATGTCTGGTATGACCTTGTGGCTGCTTTTTAACACAAGTCTCCAGTTGTCAGTCATTTTTAGGGATGGAGATCACCAATCCAATCTGTTGAGCAACATGCTTCCTGCGGATGCATTTCCTGGTGCCTGGAAAATGGGTCCTGTGCCCTGTAAATTCCTTACAGCTTTCTGCTTTAAGTGGATGAGCAAAAACCTTGGCTGGAGATCTCCAGTCTAGTATCTGTGGAGCAACATGGTTCCTGCTGATACATTTCTTGATACCCAGAAATTGTGTTCTGTCCTCTGTAATTCCTTACAGCTTTCTACGTAAGTGGATGAGCAAAAACATGGACTATTTGAAAGAGAAGTTGGTAACAAGCCTAGGCAAATAAGGAAGGCTTTCACTTGATACCTAGGCTAGGTGAACAGTTGTAGATAGAAACGTTCCAGAGGTGAGGGGCCCCTACAGAAAAGGCCATGTCCCTAGTGACCATCCACTGTTACTGAAGGCACAGGCCATGTCGGGCAAGGCCTCCTGTAGACATATCTTCATTGAGCTAACCATGAATGGGAGGAATTCAAGTCTTGGGCACTGTACAAATACTGTTCTATGCAAAACAATAGCTGTTTGGATTCTTCGGGCCATCGACATGGCTATGTACTGCTACTGTACCCTGTTTGGTAAGGTATACTTGATTTGGTGTACCAAAGGTACAAAGCAGTACACTCTGGAAGGTACAATCAACTAAAGTATGTGAGTGAGCTAAAGTCTGTTCTAACACCAGGAGAAACAAGCTGAACCTGGCCACTAAAACTGTGTAAAAGGTCCTTTAATATATGTAGTTTCTGGTATTTTTCTTTTCACAGGTTGCTGGATTATGTTTTTTTTGGATGCCATAGGTGCCCATTTTCTATAGGTTACGGAGACAATTAACAGCTGAGCAGCTTAATAACCCACCTAAAGAACAATTCCAGCAAACTCAAGAGTTTGCACACTGATTTCATATCACCTCAGTACATGATTTCTGTATCTGGATTTTGCTTTGAATGATCGTAGCTATCTGTAACCTTAATCAACAAAACCATAGGTCAATAGCTTGCTTATTCACCAAGCTTGGGATGAGTTGAGGACCACTAACTTATTCGAGATGTCTGTTTATATCCCTCCCCCCGGCTACTTTTATGGGCCAAGAGGCATCGGATTATATTTTATGAGTTCCATCTATGATAGTCTCTACTGGGGAGCACACTTCCTCTGAAACAAAGGTCCATTGATAAGTACTGATCTTGCACAACTACAAGTTGTCAATTTTTGGTGTGAGAAACTTCAAGCTGAAAGAGTACACAGGACTCCTGTCCTCTCTAAGACATCATGGCCAACCGTTTTACACCTCAGTGTCCTGAAATAAACAGTAGCTCTAAAACTCACCACAAGTTGACCACCCATCTGCAAAGCAAATCCTCTTTATCAGTGGGTAGGAAGCTGATAGATGACCAGGTTATGGTACGGTGAGCTTGTCCCAAAGTTGGTTGCCTGCATGGGCTCAGACGACCAGCTTATCTTCTCACACTGTTTAGTGACTGCTTGGGGGAAAAAAGATCCTCTGGAATCCACCTTAATGACGCTTCAGTCAGAAAGGGCTTAAAGAAGCAGGATGCAAAGAGGGCTGGCTATGTTTCACGGACACAGATTACAGAAATGCCCGTAATGTTAGTTACTGTCAATTGGCTGAGACAGAATCATAGAGTTGGAAGGGAGCTCCAGGGTCATCTGGTCCAATATTCCCTCTAAACTGTGGCATCTGGTGAGCAAAAGGTCTGCTTTGCGAGCTGCCGGCATTAAAGTTGTGAGCAAGCGATCTGGCTCCTGCATAAATCAGTTTGCTCTGGAGCCATCCCTTCCTGAGCCAAGACAAAAACGTGTGAGTCGGAGGCTAAAAAACTGTGAGCTAGCTCACACTAACTCAGCTTAGAGGGAATACTGATCTAGTCCCCTGCACAATGCAGGAAATTCACCCTTCATACCCCCAGTGACTCCTGCTCTGGAAGATGAAAAAAAATCTCCACCATCCCTGGCCAAACTGGTCTGGAGCAAAATTGCTCCCTCACCCCAAGGTGGGAGGGGGGAAGCATGCTTCGGAGACAAACTGGGGTTCACTGACAGCAGGTTTGGCTGTTCAAACCCCGAAGAAGGAAACGACTGGATGGTAACGTGCGCTGCCCGAGGCCCACAGTAGAATGAACTTGACGGCGCACTCCCAATGCAGTGCCTAATGTGGATTTGCCTGTTGCAGCTGCTCCGTGTAAATCCTAGAGGACTCCATTCCACTTGTATTTCTGAGGCCTGTTACGGCTGAGTCAAGAGTGTGTTTTTTACACGGGAGCTTTTAAAGCATGGCTTGAACTGGCAGGGACTCTGGGGCAAGCGATGCTCTGTCATCTTGGTGCTTGGGGGGGGGGGTCAACAGTGGGAGGGCTTCTAGTGTCCTGGCCCCACTGGTGGACCTCCTGATGGCACCTGGCGTTTTTGGCCACTGTGTGATACAGAGTGTTGGACTGGATGGGCCTTTGGCCTGATCCTACATTGGCTTCTCTTATGTTCTTATGTTCTTAACATGGGTACAGGGTGTACGACTCCCACAGCCTTTGCCAGTCTGCAGTACACAAAGCCTTTCCGGAGTTTATGCCTATGCCCTTCAGCTCCTAGGGTTGCCAGGTCCCCCCTGGCCACTGCCAGGAGATGGGGGGGGGTAGGGCTGACAGATCCAGGTTGGGAAACTCCTGGAGATTTGGGTACAGAGCCTGGGAAGGACTGGGAACTCAGTGGGGTATAATGTTACAGAGCCCACCCTCCAAAACATCTATTTTCTCCAGGGGAACTGATCTCCGTAGTCTATGGATGAGCTGTAATTCCGGGGGATCCTCGGGTCCCACCTGGAGGCTGGCATCCCTACCAGCTGTTCACATGTGCCAATAAGCACACGTACAGTCCACATACGTTGTACGCCTGATTTTTCTTTACACATGTGTTGAATAATTCTTAGCTCACTTCAATGCATATGTAGCTGAAGTGTGATTCCAACCCTACATTTATCCAGGTACTTACCCCTCCCAGTCTGGTGTAGTGGTTAGGAGCACAAACTCTAATCTGGGAGAACCGAATTTGATCCCCCCACTCCTACACATGCAGCTGCTGGTGTGACCTTGGGTCAGTCATAAGTTCTTTCAAAGCTGTTCTCTCAAGGGCAGATCTCGGGAGAGCTCTCTCAGTCCCACCTACCTCCAGGGTGTCTGTTGTGGGGAGGGGAAGGGAAAGGGATTGTAGGCCGCTCTAAGACTCCTTTGGGTAGTGAAGGGCGGGGTATAAATCCAATCTCTTCTTCTTTTTCTTCTTCCCCCCCAGTTTTATTTGTAAGGTGATCATCCATTGGCTCTTTCTTCCAAACAGATAGATGTATATACATGCGTTCACTGTGACAGGGCTAGAGTTCACACTTCCACATCTTGTTCAGTGAGTCTCAAATGGTGTGGCAGTAGGAGAGAGAAGATCCACATTGAAAAATGAGGCCACTTTAGTGGAGACAGTCATTTCCCTGTGTTCCTCAGGGGAGGCCTCATGCTCTTGATGTACTAATTTCCAGCCCACTTTTCACCTTTAGTTCCCAAGCAGCTAAACAAGAGGAATTAAACAACAACAAAATAATGCAGCATGCCCACCATTAATACAACAATCATAGCAAAAACATAGCCCCCCCCCCCAAATCACACACACAGGTACAAATATATAATTCAATGAAAAGTACAGGAGAATAAAACTGCCTTTACCTGCTACCTAAATACTTTCCACTAGTGCCACCACTGAGAAGGCTCTGTTCCCCACTCCACAAACACCTAATTCCTAAAGGCAGGGGACCCCTCAGCAAGGCTCCCCAAAACAGAGGCTGAAGTTTGGGTGGACTGATACAGAAGTAGGCCAATGTTGGATCAGGCCAAAGGCCCATCCAGTCCAACACCCTGTGTCACACAGTGGCCAGAAATACCATGTGCCAGATGACTGAGGTGGTTTGCCATTTCTTGCTCTTTGCGTGGAACCCCTGGACTTCTTTGCTGGTCTCTCATCCAAGCACCAAGCAGGGCCAGCCCTGCTGAGTTTCTGAGATCAGGCATAGCCTCGGCCATCCAAGTCAGGTCACTGTTTTTTCTAATACTTTTAAAAGATAAGTCTTTCACACTGATATTCTACAAATACTTTAGCAAATGCCAGGAGACTGTGCCATTTGGGATCTCAGGACTGTAGAAGACGAGGCCTCAGTCGTTTAAAAAAAAGGGGGGGAACCCCTAGTTCTTTGGAAGATGGCACAACAAAGTTGATTTGTCAGTTTCTGTGCTCCCGCAAAGGCAGAGCGGCGCAACAGTAGGCACTGAGATTAATGAGAGTTCCAGGAGCAGTGTACCTTGAACTGACTGGGCTCACTATATATACATTCTACGGGAGGATTTAGGTGAAGTTTGGGGACAGCAATGAAGAATGATGGGACCATTAAGCACCAAACAGAACACGGTGACTTCTA